ACACACACACACACACACATATATATATATATATATATATATATATAATCTGTCTGTTTATGTGTTATGCTATAACTAACGAGGTCATATTCAGAAACCAATGAAACCGAAACCAAATAGCGTTGAAACAGGAAGTGAAGTAAACAGACGAGAATGACAAAATAACAGTCCACATAACAGAACATAAACCTGCCAATAAGATCGTTAGGCTACCGTTAGCCTATATGTATAACAGTTTGTTCTAATCTGACTGGACAAGAGACTTTCTATTGATATTTCCACCTGCGCGTGTTCTAGACCGTTAGATTGTTGCGCCACAAGGTGGTGGAAAGGGACTGTCTTTGAGTGAGTCTTTAAACCGTTCATTCAACTACACGTTCAAAAACGCTGATTCATTCATTCAAAGAGAGACGTAATGAAACACGCTGTTGAAATCATTTTAACTTTGAGCGCCACTTTAGAAGGCTCAGCTGACCAGCTATGCGTCGATGCTAAGACAGAGATTTCGCTTTCCTTGGACATGACAACCTATTTTCACAAATATATAGGCCTATGACTCGGCCTGGAGGACAGACGCAAGTAATCGCACGCGCTCAGTCGATCTCTCTCTCTCATTCACTGTCTGTTTAGGCTTAAATACAAATCTATGGAGCCTCTCTACAAATCAGCATGGTACACATTATCATTACTAACTTGTTTAATATTCAGTCCACATGCATGAAGTGTAAAACGAGAAGGGCATAACCTTACGAAAAAAGAAAATACACAAAAATCATGGTTGCTGCGGTTCTTGCATTCCTCTGCAGTTTGCTCGTCAATAGTAGTGCGATATTGCGGTTATCACGACAGCCCTACATAGCAGTATTAAGATCATATTGTAGCAAAAACATCCACAAGCTACATTTTTCTTTTTCTTTGTGATCTGTTTTATACTGTATTGTGAACAAAGCTACCTTGTTTTCTTTTGTGAAGTTTAAATTGGTTCATTCGCATCCAAGTTTGCTGTTTTGCCAGAGTTGCTTTAACATCTGTTGAAGTTCCAGAATACAGTGTAAAACAAAAAATCCGTAAAAAAACGGATAAAGTACTGGCAGAAAATTACCAGGACATTTTCTGTTAAATTTACGGACATTTCCTTCAACATTAAAACTGAAAATTCTGTAGATTTACATCATCTTCTGTAACATAAACGGACAATCCGTTATGCAGAAATTTCAAAAAAATTATAGCATAGGCCTATCTTTACACTGTAAAACCCGATAAGTTCCGAATACTCAATATTTGTGGACACTGATTACCTCAAAATTTTTTATTAAGCAATTCAAATTTTTTAAGTTAACATTAATTATAAATAACAATTAAGTCAAACTAAAAAGCTTAAATTTGTTTTTGCTTAATGTTTAAGTGCAGTGTACTTAAAATGATTGTTTATCATATGTAATGTTTTTCATTTACCAATTATTTTAATGCAGTAATGTTTTATTAAATACAAATACTAACTAAAAAATACACTTATGAATAAAAAACAAACGCACAACTGTGGCTATACAATTGAGGATTTTTTATTCAGCCTTTTTTAAACTGCACGAACGGTGTATTTCTGAATGTCAAACACTGGAAGATCATCTCACAACTGCAGTGCTTGCAGGACTTGTAGTGGTTTCGTTGTCCATGATAACAAAATCAGCAGGAGAGATGTTTGTGTCAGTGATGTCTGGCTCGCCCAAATCCTCCTGGAATAAGCACAGAGGGTAAAACTTTAACTTCAGAGACTAAAAGGAGACATTTATATTTACTGCCAATAGAGTGGGGGAACTATAACGTCAGAACCCAGAAAAGAAATTTGCCGTGGGTTCCTTCTAGATTTTCCAATTAAAATAAAGCCTGTGGCAAACATAACTTGACGATACTTTTATGTTTAGTTGTACAACGTCAATTACAGACATCCATACCCAAAATACTAATTTTGAAGCAGTTATGTTCATTTTTGAAAACGTATGTTTTTAGTAAGTAGCTAGGTAAGAAGGTTTAGGCTGTGAATGTGTGCAGTTTATATTGTAGAACAAAACGTAGAAGTATCGTCAAGTTATGTTTACCACAGGCTTTATTTTATTCATAAATTGAAAAACCTCATTGGAAAATCTCAAAAGAACCCGTGGCGAATTACACTTCCTGGTTCTGACGTCAAAGTTCCCCCACTCTATTTCAGATCTATTAATGTACTTAATACTTACATTTCATGTCCTGAAGAACAGTTCTCCTCACACACGTACACTGGGAGAGCATGTTGACAAAAAAAATAAACATCTTAAACAAGCAGGCCAACTTTATTTTATATACAATGAAGTCAGTGATGGAGGTAGTTAGTGTTTGTGAATTTGCACTCACCTGAAGATCAAACATTTAGAATGTCATGCAACATCTGTGAAATCTTGCTGGTGTGTGCCACTTTCTCTGATATGGTGAAACTCCGCACAAACCTATAAAACCACAGCACAAACATGCACAAGTAAGTGTAAAACCAACAATGATGTAGAAAAGAGAAAGCCAAGTCTGTGTCCTGTTATGTGAAGACACATCACAACTTGCTCTTCAACAATATAAGTTACCTTAAGTGTTGAGGCTCACTCTTTTGTATTCATCATCCAGCTCAGCCTGCAATTAAAGAAAGTTTGCAAAGGTTACTACAAGTTTGTAGATTGCTTTTGTAAATTTAATATATTGCAAAATTCATGTCTGTGTATTGGCTTTAACCTAATTTTGGATTAATACTCTTAGCAGCTAGTTGTTTAAAAACAGACCAAATAAAAATCACATTTACCAGGGCATTTCCCAAAAAAAGCATTGTTTGGCTAAGATAATCGTAGAAACATTTGCCACCAAATGGTCTCAACAATCGACTTAGCTCACGGTGCTTTTGAGAAACGCAGCCCTAAACATTGCAGTTAACAGCAGCGACATTCAAAACCTACGTTAGGACTGCGTTTACTGAAAAAATGCCGGCTAACGTTAACATTAGTGCCCTTCTTTGACGTTAACATTATACTATAAGCAGTGGCGCTAAAATAGCATTCAAAATGCGCATTCAAAAGCACTAACGTTAGGGAAATGCCGCGCTTTACAGCGCTGCCCTGTTGAAAAAACCAGCATATGCTGGTTATGTATGTTTTGACGCTGGGATGCTGGTTTATGCTGGTCCTTTGCTGGTCCTTTGCCAGCACATGACCAGCATAAACCAGCAAAGGACCAGCTTAAACTAGCAAAGGACCAGCTTAAACCAGCAAAGGACCAGCATAAACCAGCAAAGGAACAGCTTAAACCAGCAAAGGGCCAGCATAAAACAGCATCCCAGGTTCAAAACATACCTAACCAGCATATGCTGGTTTTTTCAACAGGGTATTAAAACAGCGTTTCCCAAAAATGAAAACATTCCTTTATCATGATATTCTTACAACACTCAAAAAGCAAATAAGAAATTGTCACAGTTGTTTTGATTTACTTACAAGTTGTTTCATTAAGTTTGCTCCGGTCGCTTGCGATTATCCGCCATGTTGAATGGATTCTTCTGAACGTCGGTTAGAGCAACGAGGTGACGTCAATTTACGTCATTCAGTAAACTTAAAAATAATAATTTAAATAGAAGAGTTTACTCAAAAATGTTGAGCCACACAAAAATAAAACTAAATTCCTCGTTCAGAAAATGGAATTGTTCTAAGTTGCATTAACAATTTAACAGACTTTAATTGCAGTGTTCTTAATCTTTATAAGTTAGTAGTACTGTTCGGGTTTACAGTGTAATAGCAAATAAATCCAGGAATGTTTGGAACACAAATGAAAAGCATTTTTAATGAAATATCTGTGCTTTCTGTCCCTCCATTGACAGCCTACAACTACCATTTCAAGGTCCAATAAGTTATAGCTGTCAGATTTCATTAAGAAGGATCTTCATTAGTGTTCCAAAAATGAACAAAAGTCTTAACAGGATTGGAAAGAGATTTTTCATATAATATTTTGGGTGAACTAACCCTTTAAATTAGATTATTAACCTAGATTACTAATTCATGCTAAATTATCTGCATCTACAATTGACATGGTACTGCAAAAAAACTTTCTTGTACAGCATTTGAAAATAAAGAACAAAGATTCATGAACTCATGCCTGACATTTCAATGTGAAACTAAGAGAACTATACAATCTAAACTAAGAGCAGGGCTCCAAGTGTTTGTGTGCTTTCAGTATCTCTTGCAATGTGCCAGTTTGAGAAAACAACTTTTTTTTTCTTTTGCTGCATGTTCAGTCCAAGTTCTATGTTGAGATTTGAAAAAACCCTCAAATTGTACATGGATTCTCGAATTTTTGTTCATACATGAGTCTTGGAAGCGTAGGTTCCCTTCATCTGAACCTTTGACCCTCGTTCAGGATTTCTTCACAGGAAGACCGCAAATGACAAGAAATAAAATGAATGAAAGTGAAATACAGCGTAATGTGCAGAACAGGTTGAGATTGAATTATCAAGTTCCAGTTCAAACATTGTTTATAAAATGCTAAACTTGCATTTCCAGTGGTCTCCAATTGCTTCTGTGATCTTGTCAACAATGTTTTATGATACACTTAAAGAGATAATTCACCCAAAAATGAAAATTCTGTCATTAATTACTCACCCTCATGTTGTTCCAAACCCATAAGACCTTCGTTCATCTTCAGAACACAAATTAAGATATTTCTGATGAAATCCGAGAGCTCTTTGGCCCACGGCGAATGCGTGTGGTGCTGCTGACGTAGACCCCGCATGCGCTGCACCTTGTTTACTGGCAAATGAACGTACACGCATGCGTCGTGGTACTCTCGTTAATGGCGACAGACTCTCCCAGGAGAGAAGAAATCATTGAATAAAGTTATTTTTGTTACTTGCGCACAAAAAGTATTCTCATAGCTTCGAGAAATTACAGTTGAACCACTGATGTCACATGGACCTTTTTAACGATGTCCTTATAATACGTTTCTGTGCCTTAATCGTGGTAGGGCCCTTGCTGTCTATAGAGGGTCAGAAAGCGCTCAGATTTAATCAAAAATATGAATTTGTGTTGCAAAGATAAACGAATGTCTTACGGGTTTGGAACAACATTAGGGTGAGTGATTTAATGACAGAATTTTCATTTTTGAGTGAACTAACCCTTTGATTATTTTCAACTAAAACGCAACACAACAAAATGCTTTATACACAGTTTCATTACAGATGTTCCTTACATTTGTATGAATTCCAGCGTAGGTGCCATTCTCCTCTGGATGTTTTATGTTTAAAATAAACCAAAGAGAATGTGTAGCTCAGCCACAATGGGGGAGGAAATTATAACTTCTTGAATGACAGCAATCTGGAATCACCAATAACAGACAAATAAGAAATTATAAACAGCACATTGTAAATTCAGAAAGCCACTCCAAACATTGATTAAATCTTTCCTACACAAACAACTTCAATAACAAAGTCAACTGAATAAATGACTCAATGACTAATTTTTTGTCAGTATTGAACATCCCTAATGGTAAATAAATATGGACTCATATGGGTAGCAAAATTCAATTTGAAATGTTCAATTTGAAATATGCAAAATGACAATGCAATACGTAAAATGGCAAAGTAGTTCTGTATTTTAATTTACATTTTACCATACATGTCCAAAATTTAGTGCAAAATGAAAATTCAGTTATATAATTTAGATTTGCTTTTTTCTACACTAGTTTTAATATGCAAATTAAAAACATTTTAATACTTTGTAAGTTGCAAAATTATAATGAAAATGTATTACCCAAATTGATTAGATACATTTAACATATATCAAAAACTGTAGCAAAATTATCATTTAAATGCTAAATGCATTTAGACACTTGAGATTGCATTTTCATCATAATACCACATGATAATTGTAGCAAAATGTAGTGAGAATTTCAGAATGCATTCTGAGCAAAAGGTGCAGCAAAAGGGTAGCAAAATGGTTATTTAAATTGCTTTTATGTTTCTTAAATGCATTGACACTTACATACAAGACGTTTCAATAACATTTTCATTTAATACCCCGCAATGAATTTAGTTTGTCAATGTGGATAGCTTTTGGTTTATGATGAATATTGACCTATTGTGCATCCTGTTGCCGAGCCCCGCCTTGATGTAGCCTAACGACCTATGACCAGTCAGGGGCACATTGCATTTTCAAATGCATTTCAAATCCACATCGACTTTATATCCATCGTGAGGTATTAAATGAAAATGCAATTGAAACGTCTTATATGTAAGTGTCAATGCATTTTAAGAAGAATAAAAAACATTTAAACCACCATTTTGCTACCCTTTTGCTGCACCTTTGGCTCAGAATGCATTCTGAAATTCTCACTACATTTTGCTACAATTATCACGCAGTATTATGATCAAAATGCAATCCCAAGTGTCCTACCCCTAAGTCTAAATACATTTAGGAAAAACAGCAATTAAATGATAATTTTACTACAGTTTTTGCTTGGACATACTAAACATATCTAATCAATTTGTGTAATATATTTTCATTTTCATTTTGCAACTTAAAGCGTTAAAATGTTTTATTTTGCATATTAATTAAAATATTACATTTCAAATTGAATTTTGTTACCCATATGCTTCCATAAATAAAAATAGCTAATAAAACAGAATACAAACCCATGATAAGAATGCATATCATATAATCTCTTTTAAATAAAAAAAAAAAAGTCGTAATGGTGTCTTCTTTTCTTGACAATTGCTCTGCCAGCTCCTGGTGAAGGCATAAAGCGCTCTAAACACAGTTGTACCGCACTTCAGATTTAACGTTATCACAGCTGCTTAACATCACCTCAGTAACGTTAATATGCCGATGCTTTACGACACGCTCAGTAACAAATACACCGCATCAACAACAATTAAAAGTTGATAAACTTTTATTTTAAAACTGAAAGTGAGCACACTGTAACGCGTACCTCCACGTCGGGTAATGTTAAAATTTTGCAACTTAAAGCGTTAAAATTTTTTATTTTGCATATTAATTAAAATATTACATTTCAAATTGAATTTTGTTACCCATATGCTTCCATAAATAAAAATAGCTAATAAAACAGAATACAAACCCATGATAAGAATGCATATCATATAATCTCTTTTAAATAAAAAAAAAAAGTCGTAATGGTGTCTTCTTTTCTTGACAATTGCTCTGCCAGCTCCTGGTGAAGGCATAAAGCGCTCTAAACACAGTTGTACCGCACTTCAGATTTAACGTTATCACAGCTGCTTAACATCACCTCAGTAACGTTAATATGCCGATGCTTTACGACACGCTCAGTAACAAATACACCGCATCAACAACAATTAAAAGTTGATAAACTTTTATTTTAAAACTGAAAGTGAGCACACTGTAACGCGTACCTCCACGTCGGGTAATGTTAAGATGTGACGGTATGCTGAAAATGTTGA